CCCCCCTCACCCCGTCCCAGCGCCTCTTCTTCCCCTCCCATATTCGCTTAGTGAAACACTGACGCCTTTCGAAAGTAGCCCGAATGTTAGAAAATATCAACAGCAATCACAAGTTGACGATGGTAACCTCTTTTGGAAGTTCCTTACGAGCATGCTGATAGCGGGCTTCACCCCTCCCCTTCCCACTCTCCCCCACCCCTCCGTTTTCCGCTCTCCTTGGCCATATGCCAGCATCAATTTACCACCGAAACGAATGAACGAATCGTAGGGAAATTAGTTGTTTTTAAGTAACTGGTAAAAAATGTCTCCCATTACAACCCCCCCCCCCCCCCCCCCCGACTCTCCTTGGCCATATGCCAGTATTAATTTACCATCGAAACGAACGAACGAATCGTAGAGGGACTGGTTATTTAAATAACTGGTAAAAAATTTCGCCCCCTTACAGCCCCTTCCTCCGCTTTTTTCCGCCCTTCTTGGCTATATGCCAGTACCAATTTACCATCGAAACGAATGAACGAATCGTAGAGAAATTGGTTATTTAAGTAATTCACAAAAAAAAGATAATACCTTAAATTTTGTTTCAGCGCCTGGTTCCTTATTTTTGTCCGGATGATATTTCAGTGCCATCTTCCTGTATGCCTTCTTAATCTCATCATCGCTTGCACCTTTTGCAATTCCAAGCACTTTGTAGTAATCCTTACCCATTTTTATATGACTTCAAAATGTGTGGTCAATATAAGTAAGCAACAGCCAAGTAATATAATAATAACGACGAAAATTTTGAAGTTATCTTCAGAAAAAAACCCTTCACGTAAGCTTCGCTGACGTGCGCCGAGAACGTTGAAATCTGTAAAATGCACTCAATTATCACTCGAAGAATTATTATTTAACCATGCATTTTCACGCTGAACCGAATGAAAAATGAAAAAGCACAAGTTTAAATTGCCAGGATTCTTTAACACTGTGAAAAATACTGGAAAGAGGAGAAAAAGAGGGGAAAAAACAAAAAATTCGAAGCAAAACACACCAACAGAACAATTTAACTATAGATTTTTAAGGGCATAACCCAGACAACGTAGGCCAGGAAGAATTCAGTAAGTTATTCGGTGAGAATGAGAGACAACAGATGGACAAAGCGGATCACTGAATGGTACCCAGCAAATAAACAGGGAATGTGTACTTATGCGGAGGAATGGGCCACTTAAATACCTCAGTGAAATTATGCTGATGAGAGAAGCAGAAGAATGGAGAAGTTGCCAGCTGCAACAGTGGAAAAAAAACATAAGCAGCAGCTAATCAAAGTAATAAAGTAATGTTTTTCGCGAAAAACAACGGTTTGATCGCCCTTTTCCGTCCACCTAGCTATAGAGGTACCGTGACCCAGCAAAATCGCTTATCATAATCAATTTGTAGAAACCAAAAATACCCTCAAAATATGCATCTTCAACAAAAACAGACCTTTTTAGGGGGGTCGAAATCACGGAAAAAATCGAAAGGGGTCTTTAAAAATTCACATAAATTTGGTCCTCTCTCCCCCCCGC